TTCGCTGGCATTGTTAGGTGGACAAACTGGCTCTGATGGTGCCCACAATAAGGGAGGCAGTGTGTAGAGGCAAAAAAAGACCTTACGTATGTACACTGCTTTCCGGCAATGTGAAGAACCACCTGTGGGTAAGTGCGGGTCCCGATACCCGGCTAACGATACGTGCCACGCTCCTCCACATCGTCCTACTAGACTCCTAAGTAGCACATGAGGGTATCAAACAGTTTAAGAGGGTTGCGGGAGTATTGACTGCCTGCAAGTTACCAGCTGCCTACGGAAGTGCGGGGAACTCTGGCAGACTATGAGACATTTCATGTGACAGGGAACGCAACAATCAAAGAGAGTCCTAAATCACTTTTTATGAAGCGATGCTAGTGGAGGGATGTAGTTCTAATTTGCGGGTGCATAACAGGCACCGGGGGGGGGGGGACCACTGCGCCACACTTTCCTCCCCCTCAAGTCAATTTTCCCCGTTTTGCAGATGAGCTTAAAGCCTGTTTAAGAAAATGGGGAGATGACAATGTCTCGGGCAGAGAGGATGGGGCTGCCAGTTAAGTGGTCGGAGCTCTGCCACCATTTCCTGTACCGACCTGACTAGCAGACTTTCGCATGTCCACTTATGATGCAAGTACCACATTCGCACCTCCTGACGGAAGGCAGGAAGTGTGGGTCAGGTCGGGTGTGAGGGAGAAGGCATCGGGTTTGGGCATTGGAAACTGATTCTTATCAGCAGCTGTGTGGCAGGCCGCACCCCGCCGGCATTATGACCCCATTTTCCAAGGGTCAGTAGAAGTAGCATCAGCAGAACACGAGGTGACTGGACATTCTCTCGGCCTTAACCTTTCCGGTATATAACCTGGAGGAGCTCCGCCGCCTCGCCTGCGAAGACGCTCACACGTGGAGAAAGGGAGCAACACGTTCTGCTCTTCAGTAGCTTTAGACTGAAGAAGAGGAGATCCAGGGTCGGAGACGAGTGAGAAAAAGAAAGAGGAGGGAATAAAAACAGGCAGATAAAGTGGGATTACGATGATGATGATGATGATGATGATGATGATGATGATGATGATGATGATGATGATGATGATGATGATGATGATGATGATGATGATGATGATGATGATGATGATGATGATGATGATGATGCGGAGGAGGGAGGAGGAGGAGGAGGAGAGGGGGGGAGATAGCGAGGAAAAATCAACAGGAACAGATAACAACCGAATTACCGTCTGCGGAGTTTTGCAGACATCTGTTAAGGAGGCCAGTAAATAGAGACATTCTGTGATGCTCTGGATTATCATCCCAGAAAACCTAACAAATGTCAGCCTATTATTTCAGGATTCTGAGTTTTCCTTTTTTCCACCCCCTCCTCCCCCGCCGTCCCTCTCTGCCTCTCTCTCTCTCTCTGTCTCGGCATCTATCTGGGGTGAGGCGACGGTGGACTTGTGATCGTGTTCACCACTCCATGCAGGTTGTTCAATCATTCAGCTCAGGCACATGTTCGCCGATGCGGGAGAGAGGACGAGAGGGAAGAAGATTCCACAGAGTTGATAAGGCGATGAGCGTATGCCGATGGGACCCACAACAAAGGGGTAATTACGAGACCGACACGGATTCGAAGGCTGAAGCGAGTTCCAACGCAAGTTGAAGATTGGTAGCGGGGTTGGGTTCCATAGTGTATACTTTGAACAGGCTTGGGGCCAAGGGTCGTAGGCATATTAGTCTAGGTTTATTCCTTGGCCTCCGCTCGTATCTCTACTCGCCCTCCTATGACTACTGTAGTCGACATTCACTCATTAGCATTATCATAGCCTCCTCGTGGAGTACAGGCAAGCCATCGATCGATGGACAATAGTATTAATGTCAGGAAGAGACCCATTTACTTCGTCCGATGTTCGATGACGAAATAATTTTTAGTAAGATCTGATCCTTACTTGTTATAAGAAATTACTGAGAGAGACCTCGAAATATAAGAACCACTTCATCGTCAATCTAATGAGTTTGCGCCTCTAGAGTCTTGACAAATTGATTCCCATAAAGTGCAAACAACATGAACTCGGAACCGCCGCTGAAATCAGCATCAGCATTCCACGGATTTCCATCGGTTTATAAGTTGTAAAGGTGCCGGCGTCTATTGCTGTCTTCACCGGATAAAAGCTGTGAAGGTAGCAGGAGATAAAAGTTCGAAATAAGCCCTCTAACTGAAACTCATCGTGCTAACCATTGAGCTGTACAAGCTCAGTGATGATTTATCAGAAGCTGGTTTTCCCAAACGCCTCTTCGTCGAGGCATCCGAGCTTTTTTTACAACTG